GTACAAAAGAAGAATTATAAAAGAATTTACTAGAGCATAGCCAGTCAAACAACCACAACTATATTTCTACAGCAACAGGGCTCCTCATTTATGTTTTAACACTCTTCAATGATGGAAATAATTAAGCGAACTGAGATTTGAAAGATCACCATTTCTAAGTATCAAATTTGCCAAAACTATATTATTACAACAACAGAGCTCCTCATTTACATTTTATGATAACTACTGTAAGTCCAACTTCATCAAACACCACACAAATGAGATTTGAAAGATCACCACTTCTAACTACCAAATTTGAAGAACTACCAGAAAGCTTCACAAATGAATTTATGATTTTAATCTACCTTTAATTTCCATGTTACAATAGATTAGTTTGTTATATTAGCGAGCAATCGTCTTTTTTACACAATAATTTGGCAAGCATGTGAAACATAGCACTACTTAAGCACACCCAAACTGGATTATCAATTATACACATAAATGACTCTGGCCCTACAAAAAAGAATCATGGAAAAACTAAGGCAGTATCAACCTTCCAAACTTTGGCAAAATTTCCTCTTCTGGATCTTTGCAGCTTTCCCAGTTATCCTTCAACTTCTGCAAATACTCTATAATACTGCCAAAAGCAGAGAAAATCAAAACTACATATTTTGGGCAAATGCACCAAGTCAAACAACAGCACATCACACATTGGAAAAATAGGCTATGCTTGACATACTCATCATGATATTTCTGCAACTCAGAGTAATATGCTTTCTTATCAGCCTTTAAACATCGTTCCTGGTGAAGAACTGCATCAGGATGAAGATTACCTGAACAAAGTGAAGCACCCCTGCAGCATATTTTCCATTATGCAAACTGACTCAGACCTTGGACTAGCATCTTACATCATAAAATAAGGATATTTCTCTCAAAGACTAAAAAATGCATAAAGTTTCCATCTTTTTCATTCTAGTTTATGCTGAGTTATAAAAACAGTGAGAATAAAGCCGCAGCGACACCAAATCTGTAAGTACAAGGTGCAATCAAGAATGGTATTGACAAGAAATTAAACAACTGTGAAAAACAACACATGAAATATATAGGATAAAGAAAAAGCATTTCCGTCGAAGTGAATACTATATTCTGCAGCAGAATCACACTATTTTGATATGAAGTTTAGCCATTCTGTAGCCTATAATTTTTTTTTCTCTTCTCTTTGTTTAGTTGATCAAATTTACAAGATTTTCTTATTCCTCTATAAGGACCCAAGCAACAAGCAAAAAATTTACTGATAATCATGAGAATGAATTGAAGATTTTTTTCTTTTCCCATGGGAATTAATTGATATATTTGAACCTAAGACCTTCCTGTAACTCCATCAATTCTTCTCTCTTCAACAAGGTAAAAGGATGACAATGCTAATAAAGTATTCACCAATCATCAAATCCTTGCTACAGGTTCATCCAACTAGTAGTGTTCATCCAACAGCATATTGCAAATTTGTATATCGAAAATCAGAGTAAGGTTTCTAAGAAGGAGAAGAAATTATATTTCCACAAAAAATTTTCACTGCATTTATGAATATAAGCATAATAAAATAAAACAAAACAACTATCTGCTGAACATGCTTATCCAAACTTATATCTATGTGTGAATTCGAGTGTTTGTGTGTGTTGTGAGTGTCTATCCATACTTATATCTATGTAACCATGCTTATATCAATACTTGCCNAACCTAAGACCTTACTGTAACTCCACCAATTCTTCTCTCTTCAACAAGGTAAAAGGATGAAAATGCTAATAAAGTATTCAGCAATCATCAAATCCTTGCTACAGGTTCATCCAACTAGTAGTGTTCATCCAACAGCATATTGCAAATTTGTATATCTAAAATCAGAGTAAGGTTTCTAAGAAGGAGAAGAAATTATATTTCCACAAAAAATTTTCACTGCATTTATGAATATAAGCATAATAAAATAAAACAAAACAACTATCTGCTGAACATGCTTATCCAAACTTATATCTATGTGTGAATTCGAGTGTTTGTGTGTGTTGTGAGTGTCTATCCATACTTATATCTATGTAACCATGCTTATATCAATACTTGCCATTTGAGAAAAGGATTTCCAAAGTCAATATTATCCCCAGAAAGTAGTGCTTGAACAACATGTTCTGCATTTTGTCCACTAGGAAGAAACTGCATAAGAAACTTTCTCTCATCTTCTGATAGCTGAGTCTGCCAAACCTATAACAAATTTCAAAAAAATGCATACAAAAAAACTGGAGTTCAGAATACTGTGTTTGCAGCAAAAGAGTAATTAATAATATCTATTAGACATGTGGATACCTCGTAAGAGAGAACCTCACTCAAATTCTCCAACTCAAAAATATCTTGAGGAATAGAAAAAACATCTGCCAAAGCATTGTGGGAACCAGGAACAGAATCAATGAATGGCCTTAAATTCCTCCTAGTTATTCCAATCTGATCCTTTCTGGCAACAATCTTTTTTATATTCCCGTCCCACTCAAGAGAAATATGTGATTTCGAGTTTAAACCCTTGTGTTGTGACTCCAATTTTCTCTTCTTCATTCCATATTGCTTCAGAGAACTGCAACCTGCCACACTGGTACCATTAACTCTCTTTCTCCGCTGATCAGCGGCCATTGCCACAATCTGTCAAAAATATCCCCCTGCTAAAACTTAGACTGAGTATGCTCCCTCCATCTGCAAACCTTAAACCACCATGCAGTAATTATCTAACTTGCATTAAACTAAATGCAGTAACGTGAAAATTAAACTCAAACAAGTAACCATTTCAAGAATCTAAACTAGGTAAAAAAATCCAGCCTATTATCAAATTCAAGGCTGATTTTAACACAGTGAAAAGAATAATAAATAAACCATCAAACTATTTAAAAAAATAAAATAAAATCTTGCAATTCTAACATACATATAACCCAATTAAATTGAAACAAACTTAATAAAACACCCACTCAAAACACACCCAAAACCAGTAACCCCAAATTAAAAAACAAACCCACAATCAATCCACGACATAAACAATCACAGCCAAAAATAAACCCAAACAACACATCAAAAGAACACGCAATTCAAAATTTCAAACAACAAAAAACCCTAAAAAAATCGCAAGAAAACACAAAGCCAAATACCTGAAAACCACTCAATGCTATACCAGTGAACACCCAACGAAAATAATTAAAATATTTTCAATTAAAATCCTGGTTGAGCACGAGAGGCAGGTAGCTGCGAGAGATATGAAGAGGGTTTCGTGGGGTTATCTGATTAGGTTTTTGTTTTGTTTCGTTTTGTTTATGAAGAGTGAGAGATAGAGAGAAACACACGACATAAAAGGAAAACTAAAAAGAAAGAAAGATAGATAGATAGGGACGAGATTGAGATTAGAGAAAGATCAGACGAGTGAGGTTTCTCGCAACCGTTATGGTGGACATTGAATCGTTCATTCGCGCGCTTGGGCGCGGCTTGGCTCCAGCCATGGCTCACTCATGGGTTCGCTCTTGGCTTGTTTGGCTGGCGTTGGATTTTTTCTTTTTCTTATTTTTATTTATGGTAACATATATTGATTGGTTGAGTGGCCCTTTAATATTATTTAAGGAATAAAAATTCAGCATAGATTTGATGTCGATATTTGATTGGTCCATTAATACATATAATATTACTAACATGTGACAATTATTAATAGTACCATATTAATTGTCGCATTGACTTATATAGAATCTTTAATATTTTTAATAACAATTTATATTTGTTGCCCAAACTTTAGGGGTGATTTGTAAAAAATTATAGCGAGGAGGATTAAAAATCCGAACTTTTGTGGGCAAAGACGTGGACAATGATTAGAGATATGAGTCCATATCCAATTTTGAGGACACCATGACCATAGTCTTGGTATTGAAGAAGAGATAGAAGGGTTTTGATTTTGAGGTCTATAGAGATGATAGATTATTCTAACTTATAAAATGAATCACCTTGTAGGTCAATTAACTTAGTGGTTTTAGTTCAACTAGTTTCAAAAATAAATACCTAAACCCCGTCTCGTTAATTTTCATTAATAATTTTTTTTTTAAAATAATTAAATGACATTTATACCCTTTGTCAACCTAAACCCTAAATACTCCAAATCTCATAACAAACACTTTGTTGTCTCAAACAGCTACCATGAAGCCTTGGAGGCCTCATAGCAGAGTTGAGTATAATTTCCCAATAGGCAATATTGAGAATCCTTAAGCAAAGCAATATTCTAAAGTGATGAGTAAGTATATACCAGTGGTACATTCCATTCAAGCCACATCTCTTATTTTCTTTCATATATACCTCCTTCAAAAAAGTCCCTTTGAAAATCAGTGTAATTGGACCCAAAATAAAGATCAAGAATTCCTTTAAATTATTATTGCATTTCATTTCATATACTACTAATATTTAAATTATAAATTGAGGTAGTAAATGATTTATTAACGTCACAAAATCAAAAATATTAAAATATGGTGAGAATTTTAGGTTTAATAATAAAGAATCAAAATTGGTAATGTTTGATTTGGCTCGGCTAGTGCCTACCAAGCCATTGGAAACGACATCGCATTCCAGCTGCCGGTAAAATGTTGGAGTCTTTTGATTCCCCCATGGACTTTCATATATCAAAGTAAACGTTTTATTCTTTTCTTAATTTCATGGTCTTCTCTTCTTGCAGTCCCTTTCTTTGAAGCCTTAATTACTTTACTTTACGCGCAAGTATATACTATTGCCTCAAGCTTCACATTGTTTAATTTTTATTTTCTTTCTAATATAAACTTCAAATACATTCACCTAATTCTTTATTTATTTGTTCAAACTTACCAAAACACAAATAATAATAAAATGCGTTTTAATCTTCTTACATCAAGGCATCAGTTGTTTTTTTTTTTTTATCTGCATAAAGACTGTCGTGTCCTTTTTGGCTACCAAAGACGTCACCAAATCTGGGCCATTCAAATGGGTGAGCATAAAATACTTGGCCTAAAAACAAAACAGTTGCTGAGTGAGTTCCTGTAAACTGAAATGGCAGCAAAAATATTATCACCAAATCCACAGCTTCTCTGTTCCTTTTCTCTTCGTTCAAAACTTAGTTTCAGAGAGGTGAGGCAGCAGCAATCATGGCTGAGGACAGCTACAAAACCCAAGAGACAGGTGGTGGTTGGTGTGTCCATTCAAGAACCTCTCGTATCTACTCTTGTGGAAAACATCAGCAATTACCACCAAAACACTGAGCCATTTTATTTAATAGCTGACAGTGCAGTGGGCTATTCTTTGGCTAGCTACTACACTTCTCTTGGTTTATTTGTCATATCTGTTCCTGGTCTCTGGTCTCTCATCAAACGTTCGGTTAAATCCAAGGTATAGTACTAATTCGAAGAAATTTAACAAGTGGGTTTGTTTGTTTAGTTTTTTAAAATTACTTTTGTTACTGATATGTAAAGAATGATCGTGAAGACATAAGCTTTCTGCAAGCTTGAAATACTGGCTGTTGGATTAAGTTTAAATTGTTTTATTTCAGATAGTGCAAAAGACATTTATAGGAGAAGGGGAAAGTATGAAGGCACCGAATCAGGTCGCCGGGGAGATCTTATCTTTCTTTACTCGCAATAATTTTGTGGTCACTGATAGAGGAGAGACTGTAACGTAAGCCATTATTTCCTCATCCTCTTATCTATATACTATTCAAGTCTTATGTTATTGGATTTCTTAATTTTGAACATCAAATGAAGTGAATTTACCATTTCCATTATTAACAAGAGGGAAAAGACCATTTTTTGAGGTTAACATTAAGGCTTCTGATTTGGGTGAAGGTTTGAAGGAATGATGGTTCCGAGCCGAGGCCAAGCAGCATTGCTCACATTCTGCACTTGCATTAGCTTGGCAAGTGTTGCCCTTGTGCTTACCATAACCTATCCGGATATCGGCAATAACTGGTTCTGGATCACCATCCTCAGTCCACTAGCGTAAGTGCAGGTGTTTTGTTCTCTACCAGTTTTCTTGTGAAATTCAACTTGAAATATTGGTTCTGATTTTGGGATGACTCGCAGGGGAGCATATTACTGGAAACGAGCATCAAGAAAAGAGCAAATTAAGGTTAAATTGCTGGTTGCCGACGATGGTACCCTGTCCGAGATCGTTGTCCAAGGAGATGAGCAGCAAGTAGACCAAATGAGGAAAGAGCTTCAGCTTAGTGAAAAAGGCATGGTATATGTTAAGGGCATCTTTGAGAGATGATATTTGATCGCTGAAAAGGCTATTCAATTTTTCAGTTGGGCTTGTGCTATGCAATCATAATATGAACTTATAAGGGAGCACAGCAAATTGAGTATCAACGGAAATAGTTATTAACGGTGTCCTTTTAATGGAGATGAGCCTAGAACCAGGATTGTGTTGTGTTTTGTGTTTTGTATTTCCCGGAAATTTTGAGATGCATATGCTCTTAAATACATAATATGATTTTGCTCTTGTTACCTGAAAAAGTTTCAATTCTTACATATTGATTATTATCATCAAGAGTAATATTAGTCTTACAAAGAGGCATACAAAGAGACAAATTCAACCTTTAAAATTCATGATTTTCTCTCTCTCTCTCTCTTTCCTTTCTTTTAAGGATTGGATTTGTCTCTTTGTAAGGCTAGTATTACTCTTTGTATAAATAGTATTACCCAACACGGATAAAGTTATTTGTACAAATTTTTTGTACAAAGAGAGTTTGTACAAAATGACGTGACACATCATGTGAGTGTCACGTGACATATCATGTGAGTGTCACGTGACATGAGAGTCCACATAACATTAATGTGATATTAAGTTACTTGGGTCCTAATGTCATATGATATGTTTTATGACATATCACGTCAGTTTATACAAACTCTCTATCCTTTGTACAAACTCTTATACAAACTAATGTGACTTGTCACAAAAGATAGGACCCATGTAACTTAATATCATATTAATGTTATGTGGATTGTGGACTCTCATGTCATGTGACACTCACATGATGTGTCACGTCACTTTGTACGAACTCTCTTTGTACAAATAGCTTTACCTGTATTAATAGCTTTACCTGTGTTTAAAATGGAAACCGACTTCTTCTTCATTGATAAAATAAAACATAAGCAACGGTGAATTAAGGCATGAGCAAAAGACATTGGAAATTATGAACAGCGTAGGAGCCATGAAGAATTAGAGATTATCAGCATGAAAGGAAAAGATAAGAGATCAAACACAATACTCGTCATCTTTTGCCTAATGAATATGAGTAATCTAGAAACACAATTATATACCCTTAAAGTTTAGCATTGCAAAATAAAAGTTGAACAATTAAAGTACAAGTTCAATACCAATGTATCAAAAAACAGGCAACTTATTCCGAATTACAGTATCCCAACCTCAAATAATGGGTGGTAAAACACAAAGACCTGCGTCAAATCTTCGGCATTATCTGATAAAATAAAAAAATTGAGATCCCACATAAACACGGTTCACTAGAATAGAAAACCACACTTCTCAACCAATCATCAACTTGTTCTCATCCAAGAAGGAGTAAGTAGGTACTTCCAGGTTGTATGGTGCTGGCCCCTTGCGAATCCTGCCAGATATATCATAATGGGAACCATGGCAAGGACAAAACCATCCACCAAAATCACCCGCATTTGGCAAGGGAATGCAACCCAGATGTGTGCAGACGCCAATGACAATAAGCCATTCTGGATTCTTAACCCTCTCTGCATCTTGCTGAGGATCACGAAGAGTTCCCACATCAACACTGTTTGCAAGTTGGATATCTTCCTCAGTACGACGCCTGATAAAAACTGGCTTCCCACGCCACTTAACAGTCACAGTAGTGCCAGGCTCAATGCTAGAGAGATCAACCTCAAGAGAGGCCATGGCAAGAACATCCTTACTGGCAGACATGCTCAGAACAAGCTTAAGGATGAGGAGACGGAGCAGTGAAGCATACACAAACCTACCACCAGTCAATACAAAATAGGCAAAAGCCCGCTTGTTAGGATCACCAGGAGGATAACGCTCGTGATTGTATTCATCATATACTATCTTAGAAGTGGGGTTCTTAACAGCTGCCACTGTTGGTGGAATACCGGGCACTACAGAGTTTTCATCCCTCGGTGTGAGGGCCTCAGAAGCAAAACCTGAAACATTATTAAACAAGAAGGATGGTGTCTTCACTAAATATTCCCCAAATATGAGCAATTATAGAGAGAAAGAACTACATGTTGCATAACTAGGAGGGCAGCAAAAAAGAAACTGTAATTCTAGCATTTAAATCCTTTATAACACACTTGAGGTTGAAAGGGCAATAAGCAACTTCAGAAAGCCACTCAAAATTATGTAACTTGTTTCACAATCATGATCATGGAATCAATATATACTTTTAGACACTTAGTTGAATAAAATATTTTCCTTCACTATTTGTTTGATAGCAGTTCCTGTTTTCCCCAAGGACATTCACCAAAAAAGGGAAGTAATAAGGAAAGCCCCATAATCAGGGTTAACCAAGTATATAATCTCTCACATTCACTACTGCAAATAGCACGCAACATGCATATATAACATACTATTCAGTTCACATAAACATGAAACAGCAACAAGAAGCAGCCTAAGGACAAAATTCCTAGTACAGGGGAAAGGTAAGACCAATCAATAAACTCCAACATGGGCAACTTAGATAGTTCCAAAAATGTCATAATATACAAACTCACTGGATAGTTGCGTATAAAACCAGTCATAAGGACATGCTGTCATCCTTTACAAGTAAACAACTTGAGACTTTAATAATAATCATTAAAAAGCACACCTTCCTTTGTAAAATAGGATTTCAACCCAATTCAGGTCACATTGCATCTACTAACAAATACAGCAAAATAATAAAAATTAAAAAAAGGAGTGAGAGAGAAAATCGTTTTTTGAGTAAAAAGCAAAAAATCTGAGCACAAATTAACTTGAGAAATGAAAGGCAAAAGAAAAACCAGTACATGTTATAGAGGTTGGAAATTAACTCATCCCTTAATGATATCTGACTAATATAAAATGGGAAGTTCCATTGCTGCAATGCTACTTAGTAACAGACATCTACACCACCATAAATGGATTTGTGAGATAGCACTGTTTGACTCGGCTTTTACTTCGTGCTGTTTGATTCTCGTAAAAAGATTCTACCAATTTCTCTTTACGTGAAGTATGTTTCAGGTGATAAATTAACATAACTTTTCTTCATGGATTAAAAATTTTCTGTTACTTCAAAAATACAGCTAATACAAACAAGCGGCAAACATAGTCACTCTCAAGAGAATAACTTCAGAAATTGATAGAAAAAAATGTTTCCTAAGAAAGTAATGAATTTTCTGTTTCTGCTCCCAGAAATCTACTAGTTTAACATGAAACCAAATACTATATTTCGCTTCTTGCTTTCGAAACCCAAAGCAATAAATGAAGCAAATTTTCAACAAAACAAAAAAGCCATTTTTATTCACCTAAGTAAATCGAACTTCTTTAAGCAATAAATCAAAAACTTGACATACTACCTCAAAGTTTAACCATGCAACTAATAACAAGCTACTCGAAAAAAATTATTACTACCGAAACGAAATATAAAGTAAATTACAACAAATTCAACAACATAAAATTAAATGAAAAAGTCTGAACCCTAACTAACCTCGGCAAGGAAGATGGAACTGAGGTGCAAAGAACGGGGAGCTGGAGAAGCCGCTGGATCTGAAATCATCGGATGACGAGGAGGAGGAGGACAAATCAGCACCGTTGATTAGATTCCGTGACGGCGCAATTGGTCTCCAAGATGACGGGGATGATGATGAGGACAGAGACAAAAGCCTCCTCGCCGCGACTCTCAACATCTTCAAACGCTCGATTATCTCTTCGGAATGGCAGTACTGTCGTCAATCTCTGGCTTGGCGAAAATTTGGGAATTTCAGAGGGACGATAAAAAGGGTCGCCTGTTTTTACAGATCAAGCGGTAATTAGTTCGTTCAATTGGTGTCCCTGATTTTGACACGTGGGCGTATACCGCGGTCCAATTTTTATAATTCGTTTTCTCTTTACGTGAAGTATGTTTGGCTGGGGTTATCTCGTCATTTTATATAAACAAATTACCATTTAGTTATCAAATAATATAAATTACTGTTGGTAATATAGATGATAATTTGATTACTTTTATTTTTTTAGAGTGTGTTTGATTTATTATTTTAGATATGATTTTGAGGATAGTATTGGATAGTTGGATAGGGTTATAATTACGAGATTAGGATTTGTAGAATATGTGTTTGGTAGAGTATTTTTACCTTGATATTTGTGTTGAATATTTGATTAATATATTTTTTTATAAATGATTTATTAATATAGTATTTTGTTGTATTTTGTTAAAATAATGTATTATTATATATATATAACTTATCAAGTTACATTTTAATAATACTAAATATTTTATTGGTAATTTTGTCATCCGTAGGTATTAAAAAACAAAGGCTTCGTTTGGTTGGATTTTGGGAATACTACTTTTAGTATTCCCAAAAAAGTTAAACAGTAAAATACCCAAAAATTCTTGGCTTCGTTTGGTTGGATTTTGGGAATACTACTTTTAGTATTCCCAAAAAAGTTAAACAGTAAAATACCCAAAAACTCACAATATTATTCAACTTTATTCAACATTTTTTAAACCCCCTAAATTTGTTAATTCAATTAAATACCCCTAAATATTTTTAATGTTTTTGTTACGGCGACTCCGGCTACCCTCCGACGGTGGTGGCCGGCTGTCCGTATTTGAGGGTGGATTGGGGGTATTTTTGTTAACTTTTAATGTTTTATTATAAGGGGTGTTTTGTAAAAAAACAAACATAAGGGGTATTTTAAATTTATAAATCCTACATCGTAATACCCGCCCAATTCAACTTTTTTTTTAACTTTTTTCAAAAAAACTTTTCCCAAAAACACAAAATTGTGAACCAAACGGAGCCAAAAACTCATATTATGAAACACAAATACAGTGAAGAAAACTGAGAAAATGAAATACAAATGCAGGTGGTGGGTGCTTCACGGTGTGAAGAAGACTGAGAAAATGAAAAACAAATGAGAGAGAATAAAAGCTGTAAACTGTAACGGTCAGTGAAGAAAAACTGAGAAAATTAAAGCTGCAAACTGTAACGGTCAAAACTGTCAGGATCAAATTTTCAAAGTCCTATTGTCTAAATAATGCCAAACACTATTGGGAAAATCCGTTTGAGAATACAAATAAA